ATACAGGGTTGCTATGAGTTGGAACCAACTCAATGGCACTTTTTAACAACAGCATATATATGGCACATAAATCCAATCCATTTATGATGGTAAGTCAAAAAGTATTGCTACTGGGGCTCCAGTTCATACTTGCAAAGGACCATTCCAAACAAGCCTGTTTAAATGTATCTCTGTGGTCACTGGACGGCTGCACACAAATTCTCTCAGTAATACACTTGTCTGAGTCTTATTAGGGTGCCTTCAAAAAAAAAAGTTTCAATCAAACAGTAGCTTTAAGGGGATCTGCTGGACTGGTTACACACTGAGCAGAAAGGTTAGCTTAGAAGGCTATGATGACATTTTTGGGAATTCTAAAGGGGAAACATTGTACATCTTCTTGAAGGACAAAGGATGATCATGGCAGCTTATTAGGAAGAAGTTTTAAGAAAACTGAAAATACATTGGTGAGAAAAAAGTCAGGAAAGTTGGACCAAGGAAAATTTTTTCCATCATGAAAATTCACCTGCTCATTCTTTGAGGGTAGCAAGGACTGTTCTATTAGAATTCCATTGAAAAACCTCTGATCCTGCCCCTTCAACTTCTTTTTGTTCCCCAAACTCAAAGAACATTGAAAAGGAGCACCATTTGAGTCCTTTGAGAATATCCAAACTGCCTTTTGACCTGGTGTAAATAAAAGGACACAGAATTCCTCAGGGAAGGGTTGTTGTTGTTAAATTCCGTTGAGTTAGTTCCGACTCATAGCAACCCTGTATCGGGTTTCCAAGAAGCAGCTGGTGAGCTTGAGACACCAACCTTGTGATTCAAACTGACTTTGCAGTCTAGTACAGTAGCCCACAGTGCCACACCAGGTTTAGAGAGATGGAAACACCCCCTTCAGAAGTGATTAGACCTAGATGGAGGACATATCAAGAAACAATGGTTTCCTATTTTTATTGTTGGTGGTGGTGTTAGGTGCCACCGAGTTGGTACCGACTCATAACAACCCTATGCACAGCAGAACGAAGCACTGCCCAATCCTGGGCCAACCTCACTATTGTTACCATGCTTGAGTCCATTGATGATGCCACCTGGCCAATCCATTTCATTGGGGATCTTCCTCTTTTTCTCTGACCCTCCACCTTACCAAACATGATATCCTTCTCCAGTAACTGGTCCCTCTTGACAATATGTCCGAAGTATGAGAGATGAAGTTTGGCCATCCTGGCCTCCAAGGAGTACTCTGGCTGCACTTCCTCCAACACGGATCTGTTGGTTCTTTCGGCAGCCC